GTTGCTTCCTGGGAGGAAAAGTTGGGAAAACCTAGTTCCTCCCGCCCATTCCGCCATGTATGGTTGGAAAAGAAAAAGCACATACGCTGAGAAAAGCCATAGTTTTCAGGCTGGCCCTGAGCACACGAGGGTGGTACCCTGCATGTGGCTGTCTCCTTTTGCAGGCAAGCTGTGTCATGAAATGCAGAAGCTGGACCATCCTTACTCTGCCAGTAGATCTGGAAGAGCTTTCAGCTGGCTCTCAGGAAAGATGGCTCTGCCTCAGCACCTGTGATACTCTGTGTTGTGCTGGTGATGGTAGAGGCCTCAGCACATCAGCAGCAAGTGCAAAGCACTGCCACTGCCAGCTGTTTTTGTTATATGGATAAACCTCTGCTCAGAATTCACTGACATTGCCCTAATATTCCTAAATATTAGGAATGATACTGATATGCCTCCTCCTACCTGGAGGCAAGGACTAGTTCTGCAGCTTATGTTGGAGCTCCAGGCTAAGCCCAGCTCATCAGTACACTAGAAATAGGAGCAAATCAAACTACAAGCTCCCTGGGCTGAGGTCTGTGTCTTCCTCCTTAATGATAAAGTGCCTTTTGTGTTTCAACACTACATTAAAACTTCTGTGAAATTTTATATTGAACCAGCCAAGGCTGTGTTCCTCTTCACAGCCACAGAGAGGAGGTTTGATTATGATGGGAATCCAGATTTGCTCCAGTATGGAAGCTTCCCACTCTATACTAGAGAACAGGAGAAGCAGCCCTCTTACAAACATGTCTCATAGACAACAGCCTTCTGTATGCTGCTGTTTGTTTTCTGAACATAAATGCAGGTGCTTATATCCCTTCCCCTTCCTTTCCACCAACCCTCTACTGGTAGAGACATCAAGTGTCCTTACACTCCTAAAATGATACAATTGCATTTATCATTTGGGGGAGGGAGGAGAGGGACAAAACCCATGGCCAGATAGAATGGATTAAAATAGTCCCTCTGACATACTATTTTGTCAAAACTTTTTAACGAAATTGTACAGGCTTTTGGTACATTATAGAAATTCAAGTCCTATCTTTGATAGTTTGAAATTGAGATCTAAAATGGCTTTTCAAAACAAGTTTTTATATTAAATGAAAACATTTAAATGTACAGTGAAACCTGACACATTCATATTAAATGGCTGAAACAGTCCACATCTGGCTCTTTTGATTGTCTGAAATGTTTTGCAGAATAGAAAAAGTCTTTCTGTCTGTGCTACTGCTGTGCTCTTTTCCTCACTTCTGTTTTTCCTCTCTTCTGCACATGCACCATCTTCCCAGCTAGGAAGCTTCCTGCTGGTTCCTTCCTACCTTCTGTGCACTGCCCATCTGCTTTGGCCATTATTTCATCTAGGTCTAAGTAATCTGTTCCTGGCTTTCTCATCCTCTGTAGTTATAGCTCACTGGAAAAGTAGCACACTCCTTGCTCACAGATGCATGCAGTCTGCTGTCACCAGGATGCTGCAGAATTGAGAGTTGCAACAACTCTGTGTGCGTGATGTGACCAGTCAGACCTGGAACTTTGAGGGAAGGTGTCAGGGAAGGGTGGATTCGCTGTAAAGAGGGGTTTATCCTGCAACATAGGTAGAAACTGTTTGGTTTGTGGTTGTATATCTTCTACCTGCTGTTCTGTAGCAGAAAGACAGACATGACACCCTGTAGTTTTCTGTCATTTATTAGAAATGGCCCCTAAGGAACACACACATGCACATCACGTAGCAGTGCTAGGGCAGCATACGTTCTTTCTTTATGGTCTGAAGAATTCAGTGGGTCCTGGGTAGCTCCACACTTCCTCCCCCAGTGTACACTGGGAGAGAAGCACTTAGTGCCCTGGGCACACCTGAGACACTCCCTGCTATCCTCCAGGAAGGCAGTAACCAACTGCCCCCCTGTGTCACAGACTCCTCTGGGACTTGGTCTTTGACATCAGTCAGCTGAAATGCTGCCTGGACAAGAAACAACACTTGGTAATGAAGAATGATTGACAGAGTCCAACATTGATCCACCAGTGGGACTGGTGTCCTGAAGAAGTGCAGCTGAGCTTTAGTGGAAGTTTGGCAGTGAAGACAGACAACGCTGACCTACAAAGGGCCCTCAGCCTCAGTTTTTCTTCTTGTTATGTGACAGTGCTTCTACTTCCAGGTACTGCAGCCCAATCAACATCCCCAAGATAGAGAAACCTGTGATGGAGACAGAGGATGAGTTGTGTAGAAAATGCTGGACACGAGCCATTCCCTCCCACCATCCCGCTCCTTGCCCTTAGCTCATAGTCCCATGGAGAGTTTTTCTGCTGGGGGTAATAGCTTCACAGAAGAATTTGTGAGGGGAGGATGCAGAGCTCTACTTACTTGCTACCATGAGGGGTGCCATAACTCCAATAGTCAAGGCTGCAGTGTGGAAAATGAAGACCTCGGAGAGGAAGTGAATGAGGGCCAAAAAGAAGGTGAAGAGTGTGATGTAATAGAGGCTGTTGGAGAGCAGAAAGAAACAGATTATCATATAGCCCATACTATGGGCACGAGCATGGCTGAGTGGACAAGAGGCAAACCTGCATGTCCTTGCTGTGGCAGCACAGAGGGTACTTGGTCTATTGCCTAGCAAGGTGCAAAAGCTTCCTGAGCAAGAACTGAAAGGAGAACTGGGTGATGTGCTTAATGGTGCATTGAAAGCCACAGGCAGGTGAAGTAGGGAGAGCAAAGGTAGGGCACCGGTGAAGTGAGAAGCATGTACACACAGAAAAAGAGGGTGAGAACTGGATGAGAGAACCAGGGCAGCAGGACATGGCTGATGCCAGGCTGCACCACTCAGCGCATCTTCCCACCTGTGCTCTGATACCCTCTAGGGGTCACAGCTGTGGGGAGGGAGCAGGTCCAAGAGATTCAAGAGAAACAATTGTTTCTAAGAAACAACTGGTTTCATGGTAATTAGCATTGCAACCACTCCCTAAAAACAGATAATTGAGTCCCTGCACCTTCCTACAACAGACAAGCCTGGGCAATTCAAGGACACGTTGCCAAGTGAACAGTGACTTCTGCTGTGGAGCTGGGGGAGGTGGTGACAAAAGAGAGAGTTCTAGCAGCCTCCAACACAGATTTTGTCTAGCACAGACTCAGAGTCCGCCTGCATGAAAATTCCTCTCAGAAACTGCCTGACCCCCACCACAGCATCAGGCTGAACCTCAGGTCTTGCTTTCAGCCCTACATAAGAGGGTAGAGAAGAAGACAGCAGGTTAAGACCACTGCAGGGGGTCTCTCAACCCACCACAGTCTTTAGCTGAGCTCTCACAGGAAAAGAAGCACCGAGCATCAGTCAGGCTACAGCATTAGCAATAGCTTAATGTCCACAGAGCAGCGGCACCATCAGAAGATGCTGTCCAAGCTGGAGCTCTGAAATCTGTTCTCAGATCTCCCAGTTTCTGTCTGAGCTAAAGAACAGAGCTCAGATGCTCACAGAGGCAGGAGGCATCAGCAGTTACTGCCCGAATCCCACGCTGCTAGTTAAGCTTTCTCAGGGGAAAGCTTGCAACCCTAGAGAGTCCCGGAACAGCTTTCGCTTCCCCGCCTGCCCCGCGCTGCCCTCCAGGCCGGCTGCTCGGGCCGTGACCGGCGAGCCCACCGGCGGGTGTCACCGGGGCCCTTACGTACGTTCTGTTGCGGATGTCGATGGCGCAGAGACAGCGGATCACGGACGCCAGCAGGGTCCAGACGCCAAAGGTCCGCGCCTGCAGCCCGTTCACTGTGCAAGGAAGAGGGGAGCACAAGATCACCCACCGGCCCCGCCACCCCACC